CGCACCCTGCTCCCCACCAGTCCCGCTGCGCGGTCGTCAGGACGGTGCAACTGTTCTCGGAACCTCTCGCTCCGGCCTCTAGCCGCGTCGCCTTTTAACCAGAAATGTGCGTCCAAACCGTCTTCCTACGCGCGACAAAGCGTGCAGAAGTCAGGTTCCGGTCCTTGCTAACCCTGAGGCTATGGTTTCCTCAGCGCTACTGACGCGCGGGGCTTGCCAAGTTCTTGGTCGACTTTTGCACTCCGTCTCGGAAGTGCCAACTTTACTTTGTGCAATTAGTCTATGCTGAGGGTTATTGTGAAACTTGGCCTCTTCCTTCGGCTTTTGGACTCTGTTCTGAAAACCTTACAGAGACGTATAGTTTTGTTCACACCTGCAGATGTGAGACCCATTCCTGGGTGTAATGAACTACACGGAGTTAAAAACAATTTGTAGACCATTCACTATTCTTCTGTCTCAGCCTTCTGGTGCTGAGATCACCGACAAATTCCGCCATGCCCAACTGTATTTGCTAATGCATATAAAGCAACCCAGGGCGTACATGGGCAAGAAAGTGTTTTTTTTTTTTTTTTCTTTTCCGAGACAGGGTTTCTCTGTGTAGCTTTGGAGCCTATTCTGGCACTCGCGCTGGAGACCAGGCTGGCCTCACAGAGATCCGCCTGCCTCTGCCTCCCGAGTGCTGGGATTAAAGGCATGCGCCACCAACGCCCGGCTAAGAAAGTGTTTTTTGTTGTTATTGCTGGTTTGTGTTGCCTGACTCATCTGTTGAATTTAGTCTTGTATTGAAACAGCATTTTTATAATATTTTCATGGAATGATTATATATGTTCATAATCATCTGCCATAATCATACATGGGAGTCAATGAGAGGCAATGCAAGCACCAGGGAAAATTGAAGAAACTATGACCCTATGTTGACTCTTAGGAAGAAATAAGCCAGTTGCCATTTTCTGAATCATGTTTTTTCTTATTTTGCGCCACACTTAAAGAATGTTGACTCCAAAGTTGAGCACATTATTTTCATATTAGGTTTCTATGTTTAAAATGGAGGTTATACATGTATGAAACTACCAAAGAAAAAGAAAGTTGGCTGTCTAGAGGTAGTAGAGTATTTTCCTAGTATGCACACAACCTGGGTTCCATCCCAACATCATAAAATGAATGAATGGATGAATGAATGAATGAATGAATGAATGGATGAAATAATCCAATAGGGAGATTTTGTAACGATAAGCGTGTGGCAATAAAGAGACCCACAGCCAAACTTTAGAACATTAGGCAGAACTCAGGAAATCCTGCAGAAGAGGGGAAGGAAGGATTGTAGGAACCAAAGGGGTCAAGACACCATAAGAAAACGGCCCACAGAATCAACTAAACAGGGCTCTCAGGGTCTCACAGAGACTCAATCAGGGAGCCTGTATGGGGCCGTTCTGCATATATGTTATGGTAGTGTAGTTTGGTGTTCCTGTGGTACTCCTAGCACTAGGAACAGGGGCTGTCTCTGACTCTTTGTCTGCTTTCAGGAACTGTTGCTTCCTGCTTTCCTACTGGGTTGCCTAGTCCAGCTTAATATGAGAGGATGTGTGCCTAGTTTTATTATAACTTGACTTGCCATGTTTGGTTGATACCCCTGGGAGGCCTGCCCCTATTTGGAGTGAAAGTGGGAGGAGTGGATCTGGGAGAAAGGATAAGTGTGTGTGTGGGGAGGGGGTGGGGAGGGCCGGGGGCTGGAAGGAGAGGAAGGAAGGGAGACCACAGTTGGATGCAATATATGAGAGAAGAATAAATTTTAACAAAGAATGTTGCAACAAACGCTTTATTGTTCTTTTGACAATGCTCTGACCAGTAGTATATTGTTATTGGATATCATTTTTTTCCCATTAGGGAAACAGGAATAAAGCCATGGGGGGCTGATAGCAATCCACAATTCTGCTTGGTGTGTGTGTGTGTGTGTGTGTGTGTGTGTGTGTGTGTGTGTATTATTTAGAAAGAGCCCTGGGTCTTAAAAAGTTGTAGGGGCTTGTAATATAAGCAAAAGAGCACTTTCCTAGCACGGGCAAGCTCCAGGGTTGGGTCATCAGTACTAATGCAAACAAACACAAAAAGCTCAATGTCATTTAAGGCCCCCAACACTATTGTGTAGCTAAACTCTGACTACTAATAATCTACCAATAAGACACACAGAATTCATAGATGATTCTTTTGATCCAACTAGGCCAGTCAGGGGAGGGTAGTAGATCCTGGAGCAGGTATTTGGGAGCTATAGGACATGGGTGCTTCAAACTGAATTGGGGTCTAAAACATATACATCTAACAAGAAATATGAAAATAAAGTGTTCAGCTTTAGGGTTAACATTTTTAAATGCAAGCATGATGCAGAAGAAGAAAACAAATATGATTCACAAACTTGCAGGTGGTGTATTTCTTCCCAAGAGCTAACACCTGGGGGGGGGCACAGTAAGTTTCTTCAGTCTCCCTGGTGCTTGCCTTGCCTGTAATTGACTCCTTATGTTTGTAAGGTTATGGGGTCTTGTGCACAATCTAGAAACAACTTTGCTCTTTGTCATTGCACTTGTGCACATGAAACAACCAGTACTGGCAGATAAAAATGGGTGCCATATGTAATGAATGTCTTTCCATAATTGTCATTTTTTTTAGTTTTGGAGGATTGGTTATACTTCTAGACATTTTGTTGTCATATGGTGATATGGTTGAAGTGTCCTTGGTAGGTCTGATAGCCAAGGAAAGATTATAAACAATACTACATAGTATCACGTATATGTCTTGGTTCCAGCACTCCATAAAACATTCAAATGCCATTAAGTAAAAGATCAATGAATTATCAGCATCACCCTGTCCCCAAAACACTAATGCCTCATTTCTGATGTTATGTTTACTTAGATATAATGTGCACATAGATATAAGGAATAACTTGAAATACATTAAGATGTTAGCATGATCTATTTTAATGGTACATATTTTCACTTGCTTACTTGGCTTCATTTATATCATTTTTTTACAATAAATGTATTTATCATCAGAATAGGAAACATTTTTAAATGAATGTAGTATTTGTTCATATTTAAACTATGTTCATTTTTCTGGTATAAGGTCAGGCTAGTCTGGAACTTGGAACCCCTGATTCGGCTTCCTTAGTGCTTGGAATGCAGCATCATCACTCCTCTCTTGTATAACTTTTTTTTTTTCAAGACAGCGTTTCTCTGTGGCGTTGGAAGCTGTCCTGGAACTAGCTCTTGAGACCAGGTTGGTCTTGAACTCACAGAGATCCACCTGCCTCTGCCTCCCGAGGGCTGGGATTAAAGGTGTGCACCACCAATGCTAGGCTTTGTATAACTTTAAAAAAAAAATGGATATTGTTATTGAAAGGTTCAGGCTTTAATGCTGATTGGCTCTATCTCTTTAAGAGACAGACCCTGCCTCCTGACAACAGTCAGGGCACGCACAGGGACGTGCTATCACCACATCACCCACCATGCATTTACAGCCTGCATGAGGACTCCCAGCATGCATGGATCCTTAGTGCACATGCGCAGTCTTCCCTTTAAAACTTCCACCTTCTGTGCTTCGCTCTCTCACTGCTTCTTCTTTGCTCTCTCTCTTCTCTTCTCTTCTCTCTCTCTCTCTCTCTCTCTCTCTCTCTCTCTCTCTCTCTCGCGACCAGCCATGGCGGTCAGCCATGAACTCTGTTTCTTTTCTCTCTTAGTCTCCCTACTCTGTCGGGCCTAAAATAAAATGGTTAATATGTCTCATCTTGTGCCTCCTCTTTTTCTTTATATCTAATTTAAACCAAAACCTTACATTTGGGGCCCTCGTGATTTAGGCTCTCTCCATAAGCTCTCTCGAAGCTTGCTGGCAGGATAGGCTTTCTCTGTAACCTCTCCTGCCAGGGGCACGGGAAATTTCGGGGATCCTAAAATCTGAACTCATAACTGGCTTTCCATCTCGGTTTTTCCTGGCACTTCCTCCTGCCTGCAGCGGACTGAGATGCCGGGACTCTGTCCACTTCAACTCGCCACTTTTCAAACTAAGGATCTGGAACTCACTCATCTGCCTGTTGGCTGCAATCGGGTAAGATGCCCCTTACTCTTCCCATGGGGCAGACCCAGCACTCCATTTTGGAGTTCACTGCCTTTTGGTCTACTGGGTCCATTTTTCAGTTTCTTGTAATTTTCTTCCACCAGGACTCTTTTAAAACACTATGAAAATATTTTTTCAACTCTTAGGAAATTTATGGGAGATATTTTGGACTTGAATCTGTCTCAGAAACAGATGACTTAATCCAGCTTGTAAGTGACAGAAACATAGTGCTTGGTTCTGTTCCGCTGGCTCACTGATACAGCAGCCGCCAAGACGAGATCCATGGCATTACTCCCTGTGTGCAGGAAATTATTGATGGATATGCTGTCCTGTCAGATTATTTTTGCATTAATTTCTCTGCCATTGAGACATCAACAAGATGTTCCTAGGAGAATATCATAACATACTTATGATTAGCTACTGTCATTTCTTTCTGTTAATAAAGTTAGAATTGAACTTTTAAAATGTAGGATAGGATGTAGCTCAGTGAGAAGGCACTTGCTAGGGATGTAGAAGACCTGGGGTTTTCATCCCCAGCACTGTAAAAACAATAAACAACTACCCCCCCCACCCCGTGTGTGTGTGTGTGTGTGTGTGTGTGTGTGTGTGTGTGTTTAAAAATGAACAAGAAAAGCTGGGACAGCACAGAGTAAGATTTCTGTAAATTATTTCTAGAGAACTTAACAAAACTTGGCCCAAAGTGAAGTAGCATAATGTGAAAGCCCAAGAATGACCAACGGATTATGATTTTGCCAGAATAATTCTACAACAAAGTTGTAAAACTGCTGGAAATGCAGCAAATCTAGATTCACTGGGGTCATGGGTAGTGGGCAATGTAGCAATCAGTAAGCAATTAAGGTACATTGTAGAAATGAAGCAAGGTCTTGACAAGTTCAAGATGTGGTATTTGAACTAGAAAAAAGGAGAGATTCCAAATAGACTAATGTTGGATTTTCTGTGACTTGTCTGAAAGACCCTGTTGGTTTTGGGGCCTACACTGGCAATGTTGGCTCCTGGGGACTATATTCTAGGGCCAGCAGTAAAGTTTAACAAGGTTGATGTAAGTATTAAACTAGGAAGTATGTAGAAAGTGCTTCTGTCAGATAGTGTAATAATTGTTACACCAGGCTCTGGTTTGTTGGGTTAGTTAATCCCTTGTTTCTTCAAAGTCCTGTAGCCTAAAAAGCAAGGTAATTCAAGCTACTAGAACTGGAAAGAAAGCCAGGCATGGTGTCAGGCTTGCCTGCCTTTTAAAAATTGAGTTTCAGTTATGTTTTATTGATTGAGTTTACTTCCATCCTTATTCCATTATTGTTACAGTCCTAAAATGCTATAATATATCCTCAGTTTTGACAAAATAACCTCAGCTATTAATAACTGCTATCAAATCTCTAAAAGTAAGAGTAGTTGACACAAAACTCTCCTTTTTCAGCTTTAGTGTGGGATGGGCAGATGGGCAGATCTGCTTGGGGATGGAAGAGCCTACCATCTTGGGATTTATGTGAACAGGTGCCACATATTTTCCCATATAATAGCTTTTCTTTCGTACTTCAATCTGAATCCTATAATAGGTAATTTCTTTTTTGAGGCCAGGGTGAAAGCAAGAGCTCCATGAAAAGATTCCATACTCTGGGTATACTATGGTAATATCTTTACATTCTTAATAATAATTGATGTAACTTTAGTTACAAATGAAATCTGAAACATTTCTGCATTAAATCCATTTATTTAATCATGTGCATATGTGTGGGCAGTGTACATGTGGCAGTCAGAGGACAACTTGGTGGAGTTGGATCTCTCTCCCTCTGCCATGTGAGACCTGGGGACTGAACTCATGTAGTTGTTTTGATGGCGAGTGCCTTTACTTTCGGACCCATCTCTTTGGCCCCACAAATGGAGATCTTTAAAACTGTATTTCCTGTAGAAGTGGTGATGGCAGGGCAGCACTCCTGTCTCCAGTGAGAATGTCTGTGTAGTGAGGCTGCCGTGCACTCCCTTGGGATTCTAACAAGCAGGGCTTCAATGTGTTCTCTCTAGTTTTAGGATTCATTACCCAGAAATGAGTCAGTACATTGAGAGGGAAATCTCTGATGACATGTTAGGCATGTAGATGTTTATGTAGAAGTAGTTTAATGGCAAACACAATGCACAATAGGTAAATATTTCTAGTCCCGTGGGAAGGTTTTGATCTTCATAATCCTTTCTTTTCCATTTAACCCTTACCCCTGCCCCTGCCAAAATAGTAACTCACTATTGCTTTAACTCTCTTATGAATTCTATTTCTTTCACTTTCCTTAATTGGACATGAAAAATATTCATCATAATAGTATACCGGTGTTAGGATAAATCTTTCTGCCAAAAGCCACCAAGCCCCACCACCATGTGTGCTGCCCGCCTGAGTTAGGGCCCAAATTAATACACAGAAACTTGTATTAGGTGAAAACGCTGCTTGGCCGATGACTAGGATTTCCATCTGTTAGCTCAGTCTTAATTATCATAAATCTATATATTTTATAAGACTTATCAGACACCTTCCATTGGTGGCCCTCCTTGCCTTTGGATCACATTGTGCTGCTGGAGGAAGAGCAGAGGGAAAACGAGGACACTTCCTGTTTCTCTTTGCTTAAATATGAGTCTCCTTGCTATGTCACTTCCTGCCTGGATCACCACTTCTCTACTACATTTCCCAGAATCCCCTTTGACTCCTAGTCCTGTCTAACTTTCTGTCTCATTGGGCAAACAGAACTTTATTTATCATCCAGTAAGACAAACACATACACAGAAGCACTTCCCCCATCATACTGGAGACTTTCATATATTGTTTTAGGTCAAATACTTTTCCTTTTTCTTACATCTATTTATTTCTGTTCCTTGAGCCACTTTTTGATCCTCTGTGCCCACAGAAGTCAGAAGAGGGCATTAGATCTCCTCGTGCTGGAGTTACAAGTGTTAGTGAGCTACCTGATGTGAGTGTGGGCAGCTGAACTTGGGTCCTCTGGAGGGCAGACCTGAGGCAGCTTAACTATTTAGCTATCTCTCCAAACTGCTTCACTCATTATTATTATTATTATTATTTTTATTCTTTTTGATTCACTCATTTTTAAAGTTATTCCCATATTCTTAAAAAAATACTAGACAATATTAGAGAATCCTAAAATTTATACTTCTGAAAACCTGGAAATTTTCTAACTTTTTAAAAATTTAGAATTTTTTTCAGCTGTGGTCTCTGATATGGCGCTGTGCTGCCACCTCAAAACCTCATGGTTTCTGTTGATATTTCATTCTTCTGATGAGAAGAAAAAGTTAATTTGTTTAAATAAAATATTTAACTTTTGCGTATTTGAAGAAATGCTACTGGGTGTGCATTGTCTATATTGTCTGCACTCCTGAGGCTGAGGCAGGAAGGTTATGAGGCCAAAGCTAGCCTGAGTTCTACAGTTGAGAACCTGTCTCAAAAAAGCCCAAACAACAACAGGAAATCCTGCTGATGATCTTAATATTCGTAACTTATGGGTTTGTTTGAAGCAAGTAATTTTTTTTTTTAATGTTTAAAATTGTTTTGAGTTAGGTGGTGCACTCTTTTAATCCCAGCCCTATACTGGCAGAAGCAAGAAGATCTCTGTGAGGGCTACAGATTGAATTCCAGGACAGCCTGGGCTGTTATACAGAGAAAGCCCGTCTTGAAAAACAAAACAAAACGAAAGTAACCAACTAAATAAAATTGTTTTGAATAGAATAGTAATCACCAATATGACAAAGTCATCTATACTACTCTATGTAGGAGTATAAATTATGTTTAGAACTTTCTAGCTACTCAAAGTTTTAAATTATAAAATCATGATGTGATAAGTAATGATGAATAGAAAAGTAAGTTCATGTCCCATTCTTCAAGGTCTTCACTCATAACCACTTGTAGCCAACTTTCAGACATTTTCCTGTGACATACAGATATGCCAGGCACTATGCACAAGAACCCCAAAAACACAACTAAAAGAAGGGCAGGGCTCTCCCTCACCCCACACAGAGAATAAAAGAATGAAAAAAAAACTCATTTCAGATTTTATCATGTGTCAGATTAAACCATATGTCTTATAAATGCTGGATTGTTTTTTTTTTTTTGTTGTTGTTCTTTTTTTTTTGAGAAAAGATCTCTCTTGGCTGTCCTGGAACTCATTATATAGAACAGCTGGCCTAGAACTCACAGAGACCCACCTGTCTCTGCCTCCCAAGTGCTGGTGGGATCAAAGACATGTGGCATCATGCCTGGCTCAAATGCTGTGTTTTAAATTACAGCTTGTCCATTACAATTGGTCTTGATGACCTCATTTTACAAGATTATAGATTTTATAAGTGAATATTAGTAACACTGTCTTGATCCCTGGCTTTAGAACTATTCTTCATCCAAACATTTCTCTAGACTTCATCTGTCAGGATTGATCTGGACAACCCTGCTCAGGTCTAGGGAATGCTTATGAAGCAACCTCTCAGTCTGGTAAAGTGATTCTGCTTCACTGAGCAGAAACTACAGTAGTTACTGCTTGGTGGTGTTTACACCTATAAAAGGCATATGTCTGCTTGATGTTCACTGAAAGCACCCCATGTTTTTAGGGCTTGAGACCATAAGACTTCAGTATTGGGCTTGTGCTCACACAGGAAGGCAATATAGGCAAGGGCAGAGAGGTGGAGAGTCTAAGTGTAACAGTGCTTTAGTCTGCTATAACCATGTCAATATTCTTTTCAGTAGCTCTCCAAAAATACGTATCGAAGGTTAAAATTTGAGAGTAAGACTCATAGTCACTTTGAGTTTTTATAGTCTATTCTCTGATAAAGAAAAGATCTGACCGCCGGGCATTGGTGGCACACGCCTTTAATCCCAGCACTTGGGAGGCAGAGGCTGGCAGATCTCTGAGAGTTCAAGGCCAGCCGGGTCTCCAGAGAGAGTGCCAGGATAGGCTCCAAAGCTGCACAGAGAAACCCTGTCTTGAAAAACAAAACAGCAAAAAAAGAAAAAAAGAAAAGATCTGGTACACACAGAATTCAAGGGGAAGGATGTACACCAACTCTGTGAGACCTGTAGGCTTCACCTCTAAGCAATATGTTTAAAGTGATGCTTTTGTGGTCTCCTATGAAACCCATTACAACTGTATCTCTCATTTACCCTCTGGGGACTCAGATTCTGGTCCTTTCCCTCCCCTGATCCACAGCCATGAGTTCCCAGTACCTGTTTTACTAGCCTCATGCTCTGGCTTAAGAAAGAATGATGGGTCGCTCTCCCTGGCCAGTGATGTCTTTCTTCAGCAAGGTTTTCCGGTTAGGGAGAACATCTAGATGGCAGATAGAAAGTTGGGACTTTGTAGAGTGACAGTGAAGTAAGTGTACAGACAACAGCAAAGGTGGGAAAAGATGGAGAGCCAAGAATTTTCCAGAGCCAGTTCTAGGACCTGGGTGCTTAGACACAGGCTTAACCTGGGCGTCCTGGGACTCTGCTCTGAATCACAGAGGAGATGAACTTTCAGTTTGCATTTGCACTAGGTAATTTTGTTATATAATGTCAGAACCTTAATTATTGGCAGAGTGGACTGCATCATTTTCAGGTTGCCTCCATCTTCCAGACTGCAGGAACCTGTATTTCCTTCTATAGCTATGACCATGAATCTCTACCCAAGTTTGTATACTCTGAAATAAACAAGTGACACACTATTCTTTTGACCCCAGGAGACCAGAGTTCTAAGTTTTACAAATGCTCTTGATCTGCAGTCAAGGTAGTTGTTTTATTTGTTGTTCTGTTTTTATTTTGAGATAGGGTCTTGGTACATAGCCAGGACTGGCCTCCAATTTGATTACAAGCATACACCACACCTGGTTATTTTGATCCTCATGTGTAAATCCAGATTAGAGTACTTATAAAAGATCTTTTGTCTTGAGCTCTTTGTAATGGCTTCATTAATCTGTCAGACTTAAGCAGTCTGGACCTCTCTGTGGCCACAGACACTCATCGCTTCTTACCAAACTCTAATTCTCAGAACTAGTCTCTAATAAAACTGTGCCATCGTGCCTGTCTGTATTGTCCCAGGGGTCTGCATAATGTCCAGGCTTTGCCTGGGGATCAGAAATTGATTTTACTGCGCTGAAACAAAATCACAAAATTTAAACTGGAATGAGTTTATGGGGTGAGTATGTGGGGTGAGATTTGAAGTAAAGTGTTTTCAATTTCAAATACTTCCTCAAGATCATTTGAGATCGCCTCGCTCTGTGTGCCCCTCCCTCTGCACTCTTGCTTTACTTTCACTTGTTTTGGTTTTCTAATTTGAACCCTGATGTACGTGTGTGTGTGTGTGTGTGTGTGTGTGTGTGTGTGTGTGTGTGTGTGTATCTGGTCATAGTTCAAACTA